ACAGATCAATTGTGATCCATAGCCTCCCTTAGATGGCGCCTGAAGCTGACTCTGTCGCTGGCTTCCGTTTGCCAATTAACCATACCAAATGCAATACTGTCTCTGTCAACAGCTTCTTTCCAAGAGTTCTTGGGTCGCCCGCGTGTTCTTTTGCCATCTACAAAAACATTCTCCTATATTATACAATGTGTATAAAATTTGCATTCTCGTAAAATCAGGTGTTGATTTCATAAATAACATTTTATATAGTCAATATTGAGATACGCTGGGGTATTATTATTAGTTTTCGATATCTAAAATGTATAAGCGAGTAAATTTGCTATGCAAAACTACAAAAAATAATAATAATAATTTTATATATCCACAAAAGCTTAAAATTAAGCATATAGAATGAGTATCGTGGTCGTTAATAAACGATGTCAATCAAAGAATTGGATTTTATGTGTCACTACTGAAGATTTATATTAAACTACATACAGCTATCCAACTATAGACTCTAGCCAATACAGAACGTCATTTGTGATCGACCCCCAATAAAATAAAATTCCAAAATTGAAAATGAACAATGGAACAAACGGATAAATTTTGAGGATTCCTACAATCACAGAAATAAATAAAATTAAAGCATTTTGCAATGTCATGATGGCTGGTCTGTGCCTTTTTCCATTGTTCAATTTTCAATAAATAGAAAAATCCAGTCGAGAAGGAAGTAAATTTATTTCTATTATTAAATTTTATTACTTAAATCAAAATGAAAAGCATTTAAATGTAAAACAAATTTGCCAAGTGTATAACTGGAACAGTATAAAAATTTTAAATTATGTTGAGCGCTCACCACAGGCTCGAATTCATTAATCATGCACGAGTTGTGAACAATAAATGTTAGATTGAGATCGTGAAGGAAGGGAATTTTTCATTTCATGTTATTTATCATAAAATTGAAATCCTATTTGCCCGTCAATTTTCTGACAACTCAATCCACTTGTCACACAACTAAGTTACACCTGAATATTATGTAAATGTGAAAATTGTGAAATTTGTTTGGATTTGATTAACTTTGAGATGGATCTAATTTTGGGGTTAAGAGGGATCTGGAGCAATATGAGAGATACTTATAGAGTTTAGAATTTTCTGTGCTCAAGAATATCGCGATTGTTAATCAATAAGAATAAAAATTTAACTAAATTGCATTTGAAATCATTAAGGAAATCCAAAATTATTATTAATAACTTCCAAATTTCTGCAAAGTAATTTTTGCACTCAATCAATTTTAAACAAGATCAAAAATCAATAAAACGATCAAACATTTAAGGTAAAATGCAATTTAACATCTTCAAACAGCCAACAATCAAATTAATTTTGGATTGACCATCCTTGATTTTAACCCATTATCGCTTACCACTAAGATGAAATTTTAACGTTTATCACAACAATGAAATATTTATGAGATTTCAACACCTGTTAACATTTCATCTGATTTTCTCTCATTCCCTTTACCACGCAAATGGAATTTCGTCTTTCCATTTGATAACTTTTTTTTCTGTTCGGTGGATAGATATTTTTAGACATCATATCTATTGAATGCAATCTCGTGACATTGTATAAAATATGCCTCGAATCAAGGATAAAAGTCAATTTTTTTTCGGATAAACAAGAAATAAAGAAGCAAAACTATTTATTCACGCATTGCAATCTATTTGGTCAATAACAAGCACAACGAGTTGAACTTTTTTTCAGTATCCAATGCTTTGATAAAAGTCGTTCACATTTCAATATCATAAAAAAAACATTTGTGAAATGTAAATGTCAATTGATTCGTATTTCTATTAACAGAATGAAAAATTAATCTCGAGACGGGCATGGAAAAGTTTGCATGATCTTTGACTTAATTTAGTAGACATTTGTCCATAAAATCAACAATAAATCATTAAAAGAAGAAGAAGAGTGAATGTAAAATTTCGAATGTCATTATTTAAATCATTTTTTATTTCGAGACCGCATATATGCGGTTGGTAGCGCACGCATTGACATCCATAAATTTAAAATTTATTTTCGGAAAAGTCAAAAACTTTGGTTTTGCACAATTTGCTGATATTTTTATCGACAAGTTCATTCAAAATATTAAATAATTCAAAAAAAATGCCTTACCTCTAAAAACTGTTTTTTTATTTAAATTAAGTTATATCTTCGAAAAAAATTAGGCTATGACTTGAATTTATAATCTGATTAACACGACTTGACATTTCTAATGCTTTATTTTTTTCTTAGAAAGATGCGCGAAATTTGTTTCAATAAATATTTCATTGAGAATTTCACTAAGCTTCAGGTCATTGAATTGATTTAATTCAAAATATGCGAATTTTCAGCTGTTGGCTATGGCATTGACCTGTGCCGGCATACATTCATAATATACAAATTTATTTGTTGATATTTTGTAACATTTTGTTGTGAATTATTATAATTGGGAATAGCCTGAATTAGACATTGATGATATTTGTATGTTTGACACTACTTGAGTCGACATTTGGAACTGACTTGAAATGAATATGTTTTAATCTAATAAAACTTTAAATAAAGCTCACGATACAAAACATTAAATCAAAGCCCTTATAGTCTATAGCCTCCAGCAGGAAATATCCAAAATTTTTATGCTTTTTAACTAGCTTAATATTTTAGAAAGTATCAAGTCAATAAAAACCGGCAGTTATCAATGATTTAGACGAGGAATTCCAAATATCAAGAAAATGTTTAATATATCAGCTGACATTTGCTATATTTCTAATCCTTCTAACATCATTGGACTTAAAGACGGTTTTATATCAAATCTAAAAATTCATTATCATTTCTTGCAATATTCAAAGATTGTTTTTGACTTTTTATATGGATAAAGATGTGACATTTTGAACATGCCGTGAATGCGCAAAATAGCATCAATTTTATTTACTATCAATTCAACCATCTGCACTGATCTTGGTGACTGATCAAGAATCGTAAATTTTGAGTTATAATTGCAATTTTATTCAATTTAGATGAAATCAAACAGCTACGCCAATATATTCCGTTATTTTTAATAGATAACACACTCTAGAATATAAATTCTATTGTATAACAAGCACATTCCAATCTATAAGGAAATCTTTTAGCTACCAAAAAATTGCATAATCTTGTAATAAAATAATTAATAATCTAAAAGCTGTTAAATTGGAGTTTCCTGTTTAATTAAAATTTTAATAACTTTAAGGAAGCAATTTGTCATTTTTGAGAACTGCTGATTTTTACATTAAATCATTTTGAGTGTGGAAACAGCATCATGAATATGCATCACATGGCGCCTATTACAGACTTTTATCTTTATTAAATTAGACATAATGATTTCTACAAGGCATCGAAATCAAAACTAATAATTCAGGAATATCTTACAGAAACAAATATCATTAAAATATGAAACAAAATTCGATTAAATTTCATAAAGTTTCAAAATTTTACGATCGTTGAAATCTTTTGATTTTCTTAGAAGGAATATTAAAATTAATTTATGCTTCAAATCATGCATTTTAAAGTTGTTAAAGATTCTCAAATTTTATCAGGAATCTTCAACAGTCCATGACCATCTCATAAAGATCATTTGCAACATCGATCCATAAATTTTTAAAGCGATTATTAATTTCTTTGAACTTTTTTTGAAATCATCCTCAAAATTTATGCAAAATTAATTCAAATTTCATCAACAGACAAATTGTAAATCGATATGATCGCGTATATTATCATAAGTTTGCTTAAGTAAACATATAGGTCGCTAATATATCATGTTTAAAGATCATATAAAAAATATATTAAAAGTTGAAAAATATCAACAGTAATAACGCTCATAGTCATTAAAGGGGATGATGAGAGTTAATATACACAAGCTTTAAACGATAATGGACCATGTCATAAAATTGAGTATATTAAAAATCTATGCAAGACACTGTATCTATAGAAATATGATTCGTCCGATAGTAAAAATTAATAAATTGTATGGACACACACGTTTCATATTGCTAAACATAACAGAAAATTCAAAAAAAAATATCATCAGTTTGTAAATTGAAGCCATCCAATTGATTATTGTACCATTACTCATCATAAATCTTTGTTTTCGTCTTCTCGACGGTAGACTTGTGTTGTAATAATTCACACAAGCTCTTCACGGTTTCTTCTTCAATGCATCTTTTGACATAGTTTCGGATCATAGCTTTAGCTTGCTGACTAATTCATTTAAGCTTATATAGATACGATACATGAAATGCTAATTTGAACATGATTGAATAGAGCGCATTATTTATGATGTTATCTGCGATCTTCTAGATTGAATTTCTGCTTTGAAGCTGTTGCTGTTCGAGTTTTTGATTTAGATTGCTGTAAATCAAATAATTTTAAATGGAATCGGTTTTATGAGATCTTGAGGACACTGGCTTGATGTCAGGAAGGAATATTGGAATTAAATCAATGAAAAAAAGTGAACTGAAGACTTAAAGACATGAAAATAAAATAACATAACGCTTCAAGACCAACAGACAAAATTAAATCAACTACAAATGTCTCCGCTTCTTATACGATGCTAGCAAACCAATTGGTTGTTGACATCAACACGCTGAGAGACTCGAGACTATACACACAAATCATGTGTGCTATTTTTGTGCACACACTGTGAACCCCACCGACTTTGTTACTTTTTTAAGCTATGAAACTTACAACCATAATTGCAATGTTTCAAATTGCTTAATAATTTCCATAATGAATGTATGCTAAGGTAGTAAATAGCAAGTACAAATAACTCATTTGCCTTTCATGCGCTTGTCACAATTAACACAAATGACAAATTGATGAATTTAATTAAGTACTTAAATATGTTTCTCCCTTTTTTGATAGTCTGCTAAGTGCTTCTAGTCTTTTTTCAATTTCAAATTTTCTCTTTTTTTTCTTCCTCAATTTAAATATTATGTATTTGAAAATTATAGAGAACAGCAATTGCTGTCGATATTCGAAGCTGTAATTTCAACACTCGAGGGAAAATTACAGCGAATCGATAATCTGGATAAAGCTGTTGAGCATATGATGCGACGTGTCGAGTCATTGGACCATAAAGTGGCCGACAATATACTCAAAACAGATGCCATTATAACGAGATTAGGTGATTTAAATACACGACTCACAGATGATGATCCATTAATGAGAGATAAAGTTGCCTCAAAAGCATCGTCAGCGGTGCTAAATAATCGCTTGTTGTCATTAGATCAGAAAGTGTCTGACATTGACACAAAAATAGGTAAATTAAAGACACAAATTGACAACAATTTCTTGTCAGTTGACGATATTAATGCTGAGGCGAGCGAGAAGAAGCCAATTCATATGAATGTGGCTGACATAACTAGAGCAATGAATAGTGAAGTTATGAGCCATGTAACCAAGGATCTAGATATATTGAGAAAAACAACTGAGGCTATTGACAAAAAGCTACAATTTCATGTAAATTTAGTATCACAAAATGTTGGAAAGATGCTCAATCTAGTTCAAGATGTGCACGAGGCAATTGTTGTTGAGCAAAATGTCAACGAATATAATAAAACGAGCACAATCCCGCCATACCTAAAGTCAAGCAAGCTCGATTCATTAGTCCATCAAGTTAAACCAATTCTGTCAGTGTCGGAAAAAATGGATGAAGTGTGGAATGTTGTCGTTGGAACAAAAAGCTCCGTCGATGATTTATTGCCAAAATCTGACAAATTGCTAACACAAACACAACGACAAGAGCGAGCTATTGGTCAAATACATCAAGATCTTCGCACAAAGACTAATTTAATCATTGAAAATCTCGATATGGTTGAAAAGAGACTTAAAAAGCAAGAGGATGATGTAACGATTCTCTCACAACGTCCAGTTCCAGCTGATTTGTTAATTGACCCGACTATCGATAGACTTGTTGAATACAATCCAAATAGATATTCGGTCGTTCAAGAGCCAACTGAGAGTCTTCCAACAACAACAACGACTATTCCACCAACAACGCAATCATCATCAACGAATACGCAAGCAACAACTAATTCAGTGCAATCAAGTAGCATAAATAATTTCATTAATTCAACATCAACGAATGTACCGAAAAATACCGGTCCACGAAAAGGTGGAATCATCTTTCCAAGCGTTAAAAATAAGCCATCAAAACTTAATACAACCTTCACTACTGATGCTCTCAGTTTTAAAGACGTTAAAGTGAGTAATTTGATTAATTAACAATTTTATATGCACATTAGTGGGATTTATTAAGTGAAATGGAATGGATATAATCGAAAAACTTTTATCTCTTTTACAGGGATTTTCATGTACGGAATTGATGAATGCAGGCATGCGACAATCAGGTGTCTATTATCTTCAGATCCGTGGTACAACCTATTGGTTTTTGAAAGTCTTTTGTGAACAAGAAATTGCAGATGGTGGATGGACGGTAAGGAATAAAAAGACACAATAGACTTTGTTGTTGTGTGTGGGAACCTACATAAAATGTAACATTGCTGCGGCATGCTTTTGGGCATTAATTTTCGGTGTCAATTATTGAAGTCGAGTTATTTGTCGCATTTCCGACTTTCTTTCCTTCATTTTTATTCTCTCGTACCTTTTGTGAATATTATCGAAATGGTAGTCATGTAACATTATTGCTTATTTATAATTATGAAAGTTTCTTTTAGTTCACTTTAAATAGTTTTAAATATTTTATTTGACATGATTCATTTTTGACATATTGACATGCAAGAAAACGAAATTATTTTAGTATTTTTACGACCGTACACAACAATGAGTAAGAAGAAAAGCTGTGGTCATTTCAATCATGTTGAACAAAATTTTCAGAGATAAAGTAGTAACTGATTATTAAAAATAATTCGCAGGTAATTCAACGTCGTGATGATTTTGGCGAGCCACGAGAAAATTTCAATCGCGATTGGGCTGACTACAAAAATGGATTTGGAGATCCAGCAAAGGAGTTTTGGATGGGAAATGAAAACATTTATATGCTTACGAATAACGAGGATTATGCATTGCGCATTGAACTAGAAGACTTTGAGGGCAACAAAAGGTCAATATCATACTAAATATTCATTCATTAATTTATGTAAATAAGCCAATTTCGTACCAAACAGTATCAATTTGAATATTTATTGACGCTGACTGAAAATTTGCAATTATATTTAATCGATTTATAACAGTCCACGGAGACCTTTCATTACAATAACTATGTTTTTATTGTTCATTAACCTATTACAGATACGCTCAATATGCACACTTTAAAATCCACTCAGAAGCAGATTATTACAAGCTTGAGATTGATGGATATGAAGGAAATGCTGGTGATTCACTAAATGATCCATGGTATGGCTCAAACAACAGTCCATTCTCAACATACAACAGAGATAATGACAGAAGTTCACTAAATTGCGCCAGTATGCTCAAGGTTTGTTAATGCTCATGAAATTCAAATTATGATAATGAATAATCAATTTGCGGTTTTCTATTTTGTATGCTTGATTTCATTACAATAGGGTGGCTGGTGGTGGAAGAGTTGTGGACGAGGTCTTAATGGTCTTTACCTTCATGATCCACAAGACATAACAGCTCGACAAGGTATCGTCTGGTTCCGATGGAGAGGATGGGACTATACGCTTAAAAAAGCAACAATGATGATTAAGCCATTTGCGAAGCCACTCAACACAGTAACAAATACAAATTCTTAGAGTGTATATAAAGCTTTAAAAGATGAATTCCGTTGAGAGACTTCCACTCGCTATTTCTTTAACTTTAACAAAAAAATCATTGTTTGTCAAGGACACTCTTTTTTCGTTCCTTTTCAATTCTGTAACTAATTGAAAGATGCTTTCGGATGAATCAAGTCCAAAAATTATTTATTCATTTTTCTTTTATCGAAAAACAAAAATTCCTCCATTATCCATACTTCATGCACTTTAAAAAATCAATTCATGTATTATATACAAAAGAAATTATGGTCTGATCTTTTTATGGATATACTTTGCTAAGTAAGGGACGATCATTTGTTGTGTAACGCAAAGTAATTAATATTTTAGTTCCCATTAATGCTTACTTTACTAATTTTGTTCTGTATTTGGCATTGACACCTAGCCCCTTATCAGCGTAATTTGCAATATTATTGAAGGGGTCTGCAGAAGACTAATGGTTTAAAAACTAACCAGCAACATGTTATACTCTACCCTACTAGATAGGATACTACAAGTAAGCCTTAAAATTTAAAGAAAATTCAATATTTAACGTTACGCAACAAATGAACGAACCCCAATTCATTTCTTTCATATTTTTGGAATAGAAAGATCTTTCACACAGTATGAGCGCACTTTCATTAGAAATCAGTTTATCGTTACTTAAAAATCTTTCATTTCACAATAAAATTTAATAAACTGATGACAAAAAAGGAATGTAACAATAATTTATATATTATGTTTGATAGTTAAATTAACTTTTTGAGTAGTTTTTTTTGTTTGTTATTATTTCTCGTTCAATGCTTTATTTCCCATGACTTTCAAAAACTTCAAGAACAAAAAATATATATTTTTTTTGTGTTTTTATGAATTTTTCTTCTTGAAGTTTTTCAAAAAAAAAAATACACAAGTATTCATCAAAAAAAGTATAATTATTATATGACTGAATGCGAAAAAAATAAAATCTATAGCTCTTTTGTAAATAAGATTTCATCCAAAAAAAAAACCACACACATTCACACATTTTCAAATGCAATTTTGGAGATTCCCATCATTCATCAATCATTTAATGTTTGTAAATATTCATTTTTTTTCTCGTTATATGATGATTTACGATAATTATTTTAAATAAAGATTATATTTTTATTAAGAAAAAAAGACTGACCGTTAAGATTTATTAATTTATTCAAAACTTATTTTTTTGTTTTGTTTTGCAGAGAAACTTTGTGATTTTTGTATCACTTGTAAATGCTTTTACGCTTATGCATATTTTTTATTTTTATATCTTCATTCACGAGAGCTACTAAAGTGACACAAGCATGAAATTTTAGGCACTTAATTAACACTTTTCACTTCCAACTTCCTTGAAACAATATTGTTTCAAACAAAAACAACTTTTAATGTACATTAATACATATTAAACAACAATTCGACCGGTAGAAAATGTGAATGCGGCTTAAAATCCTGAGCGCGTTCAGAAATTTAATTCTTATAAGAATCATTCTTAATGCAAAAAAATAAAGTTATTCATATTATGGAATAAAAATTTGAATATTAAATGACACAATAAAATTCGTATTTTTATCAAGACACCAGCAATAAATTAGTAATCTGCCATAAAAGCTTCAAAACTAATCAGTTGTTGTCACATCATATCAATAATTACGGTTTTTATTGTAAAAAAATACATCAAAACTTTCGTTTAAGGGGTTTTTCATAAATGACGTTCTTCAAAAAATAATGTTTTTAGACTCGAATATCTTAATACTGCATAAATTGTCCAATTTTATGAATGAAATATTCCCCTCCTCAAAAGTTGGCATCATTTTTGAATAGACCCTTGAGAAAAAGACAGAGAGAAACGACCGGTAAAGCAATGATTAAATGTCAAATATTAGATAGGGTAAATATACTTTTCAAAATCCAATCAAGTCAAATAGTCACATTTATTGGTGAATTCGTGAATGAAACTCAGAAAAAAATGAAATGGGATAATAAAGTATCATAAAAATGCAGAGTTGAGGCTTTCCATCAATTTTAAAAAATATTCAAAAACCAATAGTTTCAGAGGTTCCTAAAGAGTACCTGTAAGCAGATCTACCTGAATTAAGCGTTATGTGAAACTTTCTTAATATAATATTGACATTTGCGCACTAAACAGCTTCAAACCGAGCCAAAACTAGGACATTATTTTGAATAAAGCATTCAGCAGGTCTCATTATCAATCTCCTAAATTCATCCCCAAAGTACCGGCTACAGAATATTCTTAACTTAACTATTCAATTAAGATTCGAAATTCATACCTCAAAATCATCAACTCTGCATAAATCACCGTATTCACAAGCTTATATATGAGACAATAAACGGATGATATCAAGAAATGTATGTCATTTCGGCCAGTCAAACAGAAATCCGTTCGTTCACACAATAGATACATCTCTATGAATGCTTGTAAATATTATTCATTTTAAACGCGATAATGACCTAAGATATGAAGATAATTTATGCCAAAAGAAAAAAAAAGTTATACCTTATCATGATTTAATCAAGACATTTTGCGAATGCATTGGTCAACGCGAGAAAAGATTCCACAGCAATTACGAAATTAAGCATCATCGAATGTGAAATTCCATTAAGTTGAGTTATTGGCAGTCTATTTGCTAATGGACTCTCCGTGGTTGATATTTTAACCATACAGTGGCAAGAGCATACTAATGAAGCATTTAATTTTAAGCCTTGTTATTTTTTCTTTATTATTTTGGTAATTCACAATAGGATTTCATATTTAAGTAAAGTCAAGACGCATGGCTGTTTACTGATTCATGTAGCTGATATTAAACCACTTTAATGAATAATAATAATAATCCCCGAAAACCAAATATTTTCTTAAGACGCTTCCTTAGTTCTTTTTATGAATAATTACTCATTAATGATATTTGCATATTAACGATATTAGCTAAGAACTCATCGAGAATTCTACTTGACGAAGTTTTTTTATCGCATTTTTGAGACAAGAGTGCCCTTGTGAATAATATTTTGACACGAGGTAGATGTCATGGTCAAAAATTGAAATTCGCAAGGTGCAAATTCCAGCAACAATTTTGAATTAATAATTTTTTTTTATCGAGTGATGAAAAAAATGTTATGGTCAAATTTTTTTTCAGCTTCCCGGGGATACTTTATTGACGGGAAATTGCAATTTTGTCTTGAATTTCAATAATTGTTGATAAAAGTTCAATTCCCATCAAGCATGACACTGAAAAAATAATGAATGATTTTCTTTGGATGCTACTTAAAAATTAAAATCAGACTTAAAAATGCGCCACAGTCTTCAATCACTCAATTGATATCAAAGCTAGCACGTAGCCACGTAACGAAAAAACGTAGATCAAACTTGATCAGAATATTAATTAATTTGTAGGACTAAAATGATGTGACAAAAAAATTAAATCATCACAATCAAAAAAAAAAATAATAAAGCTTGATTTATTCGATAGCGATTTATGGTGCCCTCAAAATTAACAGAAACCAGTAGACTCAACAAAAAAAAAAATTTATGCAGACGACCTTGATACACAAAAGAGTGAAAGAAAAAGAGATAATACGGCATCTTTTGTAAGTGAACCGCTTTACGACGTGGGATATTGAAAAATTGGACTGACTGAATAATAAATTATCAAGTGGCATGCAACTTCTATATTGACTTCTTCATCAGTATTCTAATAGTGTCTCATGTTTTTCAGGGGCAAAAATAATCAACGGATGATATTTGAGACCCCATAACACCCATTTAGTAAATATTACTGCTTTGTTTCGAGATTTTATGAGCCGTAAAATTAATTTGAATGACACAAGATGATACATTTCATAAGCTTGTGCGAAAAAATTGATTTAATATATTAGAAGCTAGACAACGATGATGAGTTCTGCAAAAAGAAGCACAGTCGGGACTTAATTTATTCACCATTAGACCAAAACAATACAGCAATCTAATAAGTTTTATGATTATTCGTTGTCTAAAATTGATTTTCATGTATAATGAATGAGTGACTGATCATATCATATATCAAGGACGTGCTTTAAAACAGCAGCAGCAGCAAAAAAAAAAACACAAGTCACTCGTTGAGTCAAAGATAAAGTAGAATTTTTAAGAGAGAACTTACGTGTAGTTTAAAGTGAATTACACAAACATTGATATCACTTGTTCCTTTAATGGCTTATGTACGTTAGTGATACGACCGTGACAACTAACATAGAGCAAAAAAAATATAATAATGGCCTTTAAAATTCTAATTATAAAGCAACCAGTTACAATATTATGCAAAAACACTTCACTCGTCTCTTGATCTCCGATCGTTCTCATATGAATTGTAAATGCTACATATTAAAGGCAGGTAAAATAGTGGATTATTAGAGAAGGGTTTTATCATAATAAATTTCATTATAGTCGAACGAGAATTGATTGAGAAAAAATGGAAACGACATGAAAAGTTGTGTGGAAGTAACTGGAGTTGTTAGATGTCTGGGCGCATTAAATACAGCAATTTTTAAGTCTTGGCATAATTTTGCTACATAAAATTGAAAGAATATTGAGTCTTACTTACTTCGCTGGCCGTACAGATCAATTGTGATCCATGACCTCCCTTAGATGGCACTTGAAGCTGGTTTAGCTCCCGTTTGCCAATTACCCATACCAAATGCAATTCATTATCCAACAGTTATCCAACATGCAACTACTAAATGTCATTCAAACTTCTATTTTTACATCTGACAAGCAAAAACAAAGTGACTTATCAAGCAATTGATTGTTCCAATAATCCGGTAAAAATAGAAACGAGAAAAATCAGAGACCAAAGAAACTGGAATGTGGTCGCAATGTATATTGATGCATTATGCAATTTAAAAACAAAGCCAATAATCAAACTAGTGTATTGGGTAGAAACCCAATGCGGATTATCTTCACACCGTACTATCATAAGTCTTATGGATAGACCAAGATTTGCCCATCATAGGTATGAAGGTATGAAGCTTGATAAGTCAACTAAGCTTCGCTCAGCATAAGTTTGAAGATATGAAGCTAGAGAGGTAGCTGATCTTTGCACAGCATTAGTTTGAAGTTATAAAGCTATCGCGTAAGCTGAGCTACGCTAAGCATAAGTTTGAAGATATAAAGCTAGAGTGTCAGTTCTGCTACGCTCAGCATAAGTTTGAAGATATAAAGCTTGAGTGTCAGCTGAGCTACGCTCAGCATAAGTTTGAAGATATAAAGCTAGAGAGGCAGCTGAGCTTCGCTAAGCACAAGTTTGAAGTTATAAAGCTATCGCGTAAGCTGAGCTACGCTCAGCATAAGTTTGAAGTTATAAAGCTATCGCGTAAGCTAAGCTACGCTCAGCATAAGTTTGAAGATATAAAGCTAGAGTGTCAGCTGAGCTAAGCTCAGCATAAGTTTGAAGATATGAAGCTGAGAGGCAGCTGAGCTTCGGTCAGCATAAGTTTGAAGTTATAAAGCTATCGCGTAAGCTGAGCTACGCTTAGCATAAGTTTGAAGATATAAAGCTAGAGTGTCAGCTGAGCTACACTCAGCATAAGTTTGAAGATATGAAGCTAGAGAGGCAGCTGAGCTTCGCTCAGCATAAGTTTGAAGTTATAAAGCTATCGCGTAAGCTAAGCTACGCTCAGCATAAGTTTGAAGATATAAAGCTAGAGTGTCAGCTGAGCTACGCTCAGCATAAGTTTGAAGGTATTGCTTGACGAATATGCCAAATATTCTTTAAAAGTTTTTTAAAAAAAATTTTAATCCAAAGTTGAATTTTATAAAAATCACAGTCAACTTTTGTTTTAAAAAATTCGTAAGAAAGGAAAGTTTTTTGCCATTTCTGAAGCAACGGCTGTTCCTACCTTGCCCAAAAACAATACAGCTCTTCTATAGAGCAGCACGGATCAAATTTTAAAAACTAGAAGTCTCTACGATGTCTCGTTATTGAGATTTCTTGCTGATTAACTTGCTTGCTTGCTTGCTTGCTTGCTTGTTTGCTTACAGAAAGCGTATTTTGCAATTTTCTCAGCAATGCCACAACCAATTTGAAATCTGTTTTTTGAAAATGATGTAAAATTTCAGGCACAAACTTTTCTTCTCGACCTTTCATAACCAATTTTGCTTTGTTTTCTCACAAAATGCGAAAAACTGATTTTTCAATCTGAACAAAACCAATAGATTCACACGTGAAAACGGTGTGAATATAAAAAATCTTGCATTTTCAAATTGAACTTTAGAGTTTTGGGGTTTGAGAAAATTTCCTTGACATTTATGGATTGTAAAATTTTTAATTGCATTTTATGACTTGCTGTATTTGCTACTGAATCTTGTTAATCTGAATTAATAGATTTTAGAATTGGATTATCAAT